CGCAACGATCATTTCTCCCCGTTTTCCAAAGCCCGCGTGAGGAGAAATTTCTGAATGTTTCACAAGTATAGCTGCATCCAATAAAAGTTTTATTTAATATTCAGTCCTTTTTCTACATCGTGACATCTCCTAATAAAGAAATCCTATGGGCCGCCCGTTTCAATCCCAGAGCCTAGGATGGGAGGTTGACGACAATCGTCATCAGATGCACTTAGGAATTGTACTTGTACATTGAGTGGATCTGCTGTCTATATTATGGACTCAGATGGAGGCCATGTGACGAATCAGACGCGGAACCCTGGAGGAGAAGAAAGTGGGAAGCAGCGAATGCCAAGATTACAACGAAGCCGAAGCAGCTCTTTATGTCGCAAAAACAACAACTATAGCTTCCTGGCAAGACAGAGCGCCGACTTGACGATCCTGGCGATGAAAAATGTGCAAGTTTAGACACAGCCGGGAGAAATGGAGCAGGCTGGAAAAATCCGAGGATGATGAAGAAAGGGGGAATGATGTACAGGGAAAGAAGAAAGTGTATAGAAAGAAGACTAGACGGAGCAACAATGGGAAAAAATGTGGTGCAACTTCTTTTGGTCCCTCAATATATCATAGGATTAATAAATGCAACACCTCGAGGGGAGGTGATGCACTCAAATCAAGCAATATAAAATATTGAAGATGACAAATGCATTGGACGAAACGTCATGGGTAGACAGGGAATTCATCCTTTCGATGTTCAGCATGGGATACGTTGGCTGCCGCACAATACTTTTGTTTTCAACCTAAATCACCCTCAGGACCGCCACTGCCCACGCTTGAGCCTTAAGAGCAGTAAGCGCTCCTCCTCAAGCGCTTTGTCAACTCTCGCTCCTCGTTTGCTCTCCTGCTTTCATCATTCTCATCCCGTGTGCGAGCCAGTAGTCCTGCCGATAAGTTACTGTCAAAGCCACAGAATAGCATTGCGCACGGTGTATATTCTGATTCGCACATTGCACTGCATTCATCCACTCAACATTGAATCTCTGAGTCAACTCCAAGGCCTTTGCGTATGCCTCAGCAAGGCTTATGGTCTTATCATCCGCCGCCGAATCAACATCAGCTGTCACAATTGAGCCTTCACTTTTCGTGGTATTCCTACCGCCCACGCCTTCAATCCCACCCTGGCGGTGCGGGAGCGCGTGGTCCGAGCCCCCCGTCTCCCTTGCCCACAGCTTCCCGCCCTCACCACCGCCATGTCCTCCTCCTCCGCCGTAACCCTGTGCTTTCTCGTCCTCCTGAGCCACCCTATCCACAACCCGTCGTAATTCGTGCGCAAGCTCACCTATCCCTTCCCCCGTGCGTGCACTGCCCGAAAGAACATTCGGGACCCGCCCCCGCTGGCCCATCGTCGATTCCCCCCATGCCTGTGGGCGGTCAGCTGTTGCATCGTCTCCGCTCATGTCGGCCATCACAGCCGCCTTGGCCTCGCTGACCCACTCCGCGTTCAAGTCGGCTTTGTTTAGCCACACTAACGATGGGCGGCGCGACAAGCCAGGGCAGTACAGCTCCAGCTCTTTCTTTAACTTCCGAAACACAGTCACCGGTGCCTCCTCCACGACACTGCCGTCGTCCACGCCCGCCCCACCCTCTCTCCCCACCCCGTCGAGCACGTAGACCAGTACCTTGGTCCGTTCGATGTGCCTGAGAAACTCGTGACCCAAGCCCTTGTTGGCGTGAGCCCCTTCGATAAGACCGGGCAAGTCCGCGACCGTCACGCTGGCCGCATCCGTGTACTCGACTCGGCCCACAGTGGGGTGGAGGGTGGTAAAAGGGTAAGCGGCTGCCGCCGGCCGGGCCCGGGAGAGCCCACCCAAGAGGGTGGACTTTCCTGCATTTGGGTAGCCGACCAGGCCCACATCCGCGATCGTTTTAAGCTCCAACTCATAGAACCGCTCCTCACCCTGATGGCCAGGGGACCGAAAATTGCCGGAGGCAGAGGCGGAGTTACGGGCTCGCCCCGCCTGCACGGAGTTGCCCAGTCCCGGGCGTCCCCCTGTGGCAGCCCGGTAGTAGCTTAAAGGCTGATCTAGGTCGCAGACTTGGACCCGCTCATATCCCCCGCCCCTGCCGCTCCGCAAGACCTCCTTGACCACCGTGCCGCAAGGAACGCGAACGACCGCGTGCGCACCGCGGGCCCCGTGTTTCTTGTTCGAGTCCCCAGAGCCCCCTGCCTTGCCATGGAAATGGTGCCGGTCCATCCCCAGGCTCTGCACGCGCGGATCCGCGACAAAAATCACGTCCCCACCCTGGCCTCCGTGGCCCCCCGAGGGACGTTTGACCGCCCCTCCTCTGGCGTTTGCCATCTTCTCGAAACTAATGCATCCCTTTCCGCCCTTACCTCCGGTCACGGCCACGCCTATCCGGTCCACAAATTTTGGCGGGGCCTTGCGCATGTGTCTGCCTTTTCGCAAAGGAGGGGGATGCTTGATAGAAGGTTCTCCCTCGCCAACGTCCTCGAAAAAGGCACTCTGAAAATCGTTTTCCTCTGATCGGTCCATGCCGGTGCGCCGCAAAAACTCGAACCAATCATCTTCCGTCATGGCACCTGCTTGACGAGCCTTTTGCAGCAGATTGTGTGCTGATTTTATCTTCGATTTAAGCCCTTCTCTTTTTGTGGGCATCACTTGCAGGTTTCCGTCCGCATCCTCTTCAAGCCTATACTCCTCCACTATTTTAGCGTCCTCCGAGACTTGAGAAGCAGAGGCATCCGACGCGACCCTCATGCCATCTTCTGCTTCCAACGCATCATACTCTTCCAAAAACGAGCTCCAGTCCTCGGTGTCTTCTTCTTCATAAACGAGCATGTCTTGGCCTGCTGGCTTTTTGTTCCCTGAGGGCGCTAGCTTTTCCAGCGGTCGCGTCTTGCGGCGACCGGACTTACCAGAGTTATCCTTTACTGTGGCATATTGTCTTGTCATCCGTTCCATATCTCCTGTCAACCTTCCACAACCGAAAATGTTCGATTTCCCGGCTGGTACACAGGACGCGATGGCAGACCTCCTGTCATACCGTGCTTCAACTCCCTTGAAAGATAACGCAATGCTGGAAAGACAACGCCGACCGGGGCGCGGCATAGAGAGAATCCAAAGTACCTTTATTACCATTTTGTCATCTACCTATGTGTTTGGCGTGGGAAAAAAGGAGGTTAGAAGGAAAATAATATCCGCAAGCAGCGGTCTCCACATCGCCCGATACCCCCCCCTACTATCACCAAGACTTCACCTCGACCTTTTCCATTCATCTGCATCCAAACCTTTACAGGATAGTGCGTCATGTGGCGACAGATACTCTGGATGATGATAGGAGTATCGACGGTAGCCAACAACGGAGTATGCTCGGCTTTCGGACTACAGACCACCTTCCTCGTCCCGGCTCCGGCTTCTCGCGCGTCCTCAACCCCCCAGCATGCCACCCGCTCTCCCACCGAAGAGGAGGCAAGATCGGACCCTTTGGAGTGTTGGAACTTGAATGTGGTGCCCGATAAGAAATTGTTGGCGGCAGCTCGGGCGGAGGCATTGAAGAAAGACGCTGACTGGTATCAGGCAGTGATCGGCGGGAATGAAGATCGTGAGAAGGATCATTCATTGAGGCCCGTCAGACCGGCTACTGACGAGATCGTTGTGGAAGAATCGACTGGCAATGATACGCTTGAGGTTCCACAGGCTCTGAAGCCGTTGGTAGATCTGGGGTATTCCCAAGAAGAAGCGACGGAGCTGCCAGAGGACATCGCGAGCATTATCGTAGAGAGCGGCATTCGGCGGCCCGAGGGTAAATTGCCCAAGGAATGGCTGACTTCGGACACGGATATTGAGCCACACAAAGACGCTGCCGATGGAGAGGAGCACGACACGTGGGCGGAAGAGGCATTGGAAGAAGAGGAAACTCAGAGGCGGGAGAGGGATGACGAAGAAAGCTCAGGCTGGGCGGGAGCCCCTGGAAAGCGTCCGGGCAAAGCAACGAAGGAAGTGCGGTCTGTGAGGAGCGCTGAATCGAGGGACCTGCCCACAAGTGCATCCTTCATTGCGGGCGGGGGCGTTCAGGGACGGCGGAGGGAGGGGCAATACAAGAAGAGGACACGGGAGAGCGCAGGGGGTTCGGAGTCAGTGGCCGGGAGGGAGAATGTGGGTCATGAGTATCGCGTGGGATTTGGGAGAAGGAGCCAGCGGGAGGAGCGCGATGACGACAGGGAGTTTGAGGACTTCGACCCCACCTTCGCCGAGCAAGAACCAGGCCTGCTGCCCCTCTTGCTGGACCTTGTGGCGGAGCGGGTGCGGGGGAGCCGCCTGCTCCGGCCCCTTTTGAGGGAGTCCAAGTTCAAGTACCTGCTCAGCCAGGAGGCGGACCTGAGGCTGATGGTCACGGGGCCCTGGGCCGCAGAGCTTCTACAGGACGAGATCCGGTGGCGCCTGGGGCTCTTCCGGGATTATCTTAAGGTGGAGGAGAAGGGGGGGCGGGGGGCGGGGAG